ACTTATATTCCAAGTGTTTTATTTGAATGTTGCAAAAGTAGATCTGGATATTGCATATGTTGCTAGAGCTATACATATATGTTTCGAGTGTTTCATCTATTCCAGACATATGTTGCAATTGTTTTATTTGGATGTTTCAAAAGTAGATCTCGAGGGAGTACATGTTACAATGACGCCGGTGGCTGACACATAGCAGCCAGCCGCAGCCGTCTACTGTTGCTGCTAGGGTGCCACCATGGCTCACTGCGCCGCCTGCTGGAGGCTCATAGGTTTACTGTGTGTCTACAGAAAAATGTAAAATATAATGGCATGCAACAACCTGGGCTATAGATAACAATTGTCATACCAATAGATTAATTAATGGATTAAGCCCACTTTTGGCCCCTCAACTCTCATGTTGGTCTAATTTTTATCCCCAAGTACAAAACCATCTGATCTAGGCACCGGAACTTTCAAACCCGTTCAATTTAAGCCCCTCGGCGCGTTTGCGGTGACGTGTTCCCGGTTTTGAGTGGCCACGCTAGCGTTGACGGACACGCTGGATCACCGCGTGGGTCAAAAACACGAGCCACCCCGGTCAGCTCTCTCTCTCCCTCTCAGTTCCTCTCCCCCGAACCCTAGACGCCGCCGCCGCCTCCATCGCCGTAGCCGCCGCCACATCCTCTCCTCCGGTGCCTCCACGTCCGCAGTCTCCCCTCCGCCTGGGAGTCTCTGCCGCCGCCTTCGCAGTCGTCTATGGCGACCTCAAGCGGATCCAGTCGAAGTTTGGGGACCCAAGAGTCGCAATGGCGTCGCAATGGCGATTCCCATGGCGATTCGTCCTCACCCATCCCCTATCGTGAAGGACCACTGGAGTATACCCCAGCTGTGCTATGCAAATGCGGTGCAAAAGTTGCTAGGTTCATATCTTGGAGTGATTTGAACCCAGGATTGCGGTATCTGAAGTGTGCACGGGCTCGTGTAAGTTGTTCTCTTCGTGATTCATAGTCTGTAGATGCATCAGTGATTGAGTGTGTCTCTGATTTGTTGGTTATTGGTTTGTTTCATATGATGGTGGTTGCGACTTTTATAATTGGGTGGATCCGCCAAACAGTAGCTTCAAGAAGCAACTTCTGCTTGATTTGCGAGATGCAGTGAAGTACTGGAAGCGTGCAACTGGAGTAGCTGAACAGAGTTTGGAAGATGCAAGAATGGAGACTGCAAGACTCTTGGAAGGTGCAACAAGGGAGAATCAAAGACTGCAGCTTCAGCTGGAAGGCACAACAAGGGAGAATCAAAGACTGCAGCTTGAGCTGGAAGGCGATGAAGACAGAGGTGCCATGTTTGTTGCAGCCAGGACAGATGTGGCCATTATGCAAGCTGAATTACAGTTGGGAGCTGAATCTAGAGTTGAGTTAGAGGTGAGGATAGGGACATTAGAGAAGGAGAGGAAGTTCTTGTTTGGTGCTCTATTTGTTTGTGTAGGATTAGTGGCTGCTTCTTGGATGCCTTAGATCATGTAAGTCAATGTGGTGTTAGCCTTGGTGTAGTTGTAGTTGTAGTCAGTAGGATCCATGTTGGTACTGAAAACCTGCTCAGGTTCTATTATGGGTTGTGTATCAGCTTAATGCATGAGCATAATGCTCAGGACCATGTATGAGTATCAGGTTAATGCTCATGTCCTAATGTTTTAGTGAAATGTGGTTGCATGAATCCATCCTTTTATATGTGAATCCTTTTATATGTTTAACTTGGCCATGTACTAAATGTTAAGTTCACCCTCCATGTATTTTCTTAAGCTCTACAGAATAATCTAATATCTAAACAATTTGCCAGACTATTCATATAATTGGAACATGCCCAAAAATATTCCACCTACTCCATTCTTCAGCTGAAATGCCCAATCTTTAACTCATTGAACAAATATACTTACCACTGCAGTAGATGACAGAGACAAGAAGGCACCAACAAACACTTGCCAAAAATACTTTGGAAAGAGACATATTGGACTCAAGACAACATCCAGAGATTTTTTTAGTACCTTAGTCACAGATCCATACAACACATGTCATTCAGTGATTAACACATGTCATTCAGTGATTAACATAGATCCAAGTTCATTATAATAGTTCAGGTTGCACACACACAAACTCATGAAATTGGACACATACATGAAGTCAGGTAGAAGGATAGATCCAAGTTCATTACAGTAGTTCATTATAATAGTTCCAGATAGCATAGATAAGACACAGACACAGACATGGGCTCAAGGATTTGGGCCTGTCAGCAGTAAGGTAGAAGGAGTGGCTCCCTTGTGATCAGCTGCACTTGGATAAATCTGCTTGGCTGGTCCTGCAGCTGACACAACAACCTTGGAGGTAGAAGCACCTGAAACTTGGAGGCTTGCTTTACTGTGATTTCCAGACATCCCTGTTATAGTGGCCTCTAGGGTGACCTTAGCCCGAGCCCCTTCCTTCAGCGTTGTCTTCACTCTTGCTGATGACTTCATAGTTTTTTGCCCATCCTGCAAGACAAAGAAAGTATATAACTAAGACAAAGCAAGTATATTACTAATAAGGATAACCACATGGAATAAGAAGTTAAACTTACATTGCAGTGTCTTTTGCTACTAGCAACAGTAGATGAAGGGCATGACTTTCTTTTTGATGAGCCTCCTCTACCAGACTGTGAAGCACCATCACCTCCTCTAACAGACTGTGAAGCACCACCACTTGCATTACCAGACTGTGAAGCACCACCACTTGCATTACCAGAACCTATCCTCCTGCTACAAGTTGTCCTGTTGTGTCCAATCCCTTTACATACTCTGCACCTTATAGTTGTTCCTTTCTTAGATAGCTTACCCTGAGGTGGCTTCTTCTTCTCCCCATCACGACTCTTGAGTCCCCAAACTTCGGCTGGATCCGCTTGAGGTCGCCATAGACGACTGTGAAGGCGGCAGCGGAGAACTCCCAGGCGGAGGGGAGACTACGGACGCGGAGGCACCGGAGGAGAGGATGCGGTAGCGACGGCGGCGATGGAGGCGACGACGGCGTCTAGGGTTCAGGGGAGAGGAACTGAGAGGGAGAGAGAGAGCTGACCGGGGCGGCTCGTGTTTTTTGACCCGCGCGGTGATCCAGCGTGTCCGTCAACGCCAGCGTGGCCACTCAAAACCGGGAACACGTCACCGCAAACCGCCTCAAACGTACCGAGGGGCTTAAATTGAACGGGTTTGAAAGTTCCGGTGCCCAGATCAGACGATTTTGTACTTGGGGGTAAAAATTAGACCGACATGAGAGTTGAGGGGCCAAAAGTGGACTTAATCCTTAATTAATTCACCTGACCTTGACCGGTAATGCCACTGCTCAATCAAGCAAACCTTCTTAACTTTTGCCGTATTTCGCCGGTGAACGTAAGTTCTTGTTTGGATGTCTCATTTCAATTTCATTTTAACATACGTGTTGGATGGGCATCGGTGCTGTGGGTAGAGAGAAGAATTGGAGGCGGCTAGGCGCTTGAAGTGGCAAAATCATGGCTCTGTTCGCTTGAATTTATCAGCCCGACTTATAAGTTATGATATAGTGTTTATCTCTCATAACAAATCAATATCAACCGGTTTATATTCTGAGATGACATGATGGCACGAGTCACATGGGATCTAGCTCATTCTTTGATTTGATCGGCAAGAACTATGTGGTGTGATAGACAATTCTTGCCCATATAATTTTTATGTTTATACAAATTTGAATTTGAATTTGAATTTAAATTATCTTATTTGAAATCATGAATTTGAATACAGTTCTCAATTATAACGTTTGCAAATATTTAAATTTAAATTATTGTGATGTCATACAAATAATACTTCCTCCGTTCCAAATTATAAATCACTGTGACTTTTTTGGTATGTCTATTTTATTATGCATCTAGATATAATAGTATGTCTCGACACATAGCAAAATGAATGAACCAAAGAAGTTAAATCGACTTATAATTTGGAATGGAAGGATTATACGTGATGATTATAGTAAAAAAATGAGACAAAATAAAAATAAGGCTTAAGGCCCCGTTCGGCTTACCCCATATTCGGCTTGTTCGGCTTCTTTTTTCAGTCGGAACAGTATTTTTCTCTCACAATAATTCAGCCAGAACAATATTTTTCAGCCATAATTCTACCAGGCGAATGGGGCCTAGATGTAGAGGATTTTGTTGGAGTTAGAGCTACACAGAAAGTAGGAGCACTATTTTAGCAGGAGCCACTATTGGAGATGCTTCTAATCTAATAGTTAGCAACATAGATCTAAATATTCCCTAAGACTACCCACAAATGTTCAAAGATGTTTGGATAATTCATTTTATTTCTATTATTTACAAACTTGGAAATAGATATTTGAGTCACTTGATACTTCATTAAAGTTGTACAAACCACACCGTTTAATCGTTTATAGACCGCAAGAACGTCCGTCGACACTTTGGTTTTTGTCATCGTAGACTCGTTGCAGGCTTGGGAGTAGCATTTTTGTGCTGACTGTCTGCCGTGAAGGTGAGCTGCTCTCAGCTGACTTTCTTCCACCCGCTGCCAGCACAGCGCGTCCGTTCACCAGCATCCCTTCCTCGCCAAGAACTCGTCTCGGTCTCCTCTCCTGTACCGCGATTCCACGCGCTTCCTCCCCTTCCCCTCTGTCCCCCTTCTCCCTCCACGCTGCTCCTCCACCTCCACCGGAGGTCCGGAGCCCCAACTGCCGTCTCCCACTACCCCTGGGCAGCTCTCCCAGCAGCACCTACAGCCGTCGCCTCTCCTCGCGCGGCCCGCCCAAGCCCTGACCTGACCGCCTGAGATCCGGGGCTTCTCTTGGTAACTAACCCTTCCTGGTTCTCCCCGACAAGTCTAGTTCGTCTCCCCGACCCTGCCCGGCTCCCTCCAGTTGTTGACTCCTTACCGTTTCTGTGGGTTGCTAGGTTCTCTACGCGGAGGCGGAGGTGGAGGTTGGTTTCTGATTTGGGGATCGGCTGGTGGTGCGGGGATGAATACGAGGCCGGTGGTGCTCGTGTTGCTCTTGATCGTGCTCGTCATCACGTCGCAGTTCGAGTGGAAGCAGCAGATCGGGGAGGCCGCGGACGCCGACCCGGCCGCCGCCCGCCGCCGGCAGCAGCTGCTCGCCAGGGAGGACGCCGTCAAGGAAAAGGTTCTTGCCAAATCTGCTTCACTTCCTTTTTAGTTGTTCCGTGGGTTTAAAGCAGCTGTTGTGCTTGTTGTGATGTTGTCCCTTTTCCTCTACCGAAGAAATCTTGTGGCAGTGACATCTGAACCTAAATTTAGGTACTTGTTGAAATTGTAATCGCCATTAATTGGGAACTAGATAAATTGTGCTGTTTCTTAATTGATATTGAGAACCTGTCTATAGATAGTTATGTTTAATTAACAATAAGTTGATTTCTGTTTTCAGTAAGCTAGAAGGTGGATATTAGTTAAGAAGCTTTTTTGACTGGGGTAGTGCATTGTTGAGCCTATATATCTATTTACATGCAAAAATGAATGCATCGAATGTGCAAATCTTCACCAAACCTCTGTCTTGATAACACTATCAAATTTATTGCTTCTAGGAAATGTGGGATGCTTGCTTACATTATATATCACGAGTCTTGTATGTAATGCACGCATTTTGCATAACTATTTCTGGAACAGTTACGTACGGCAAGCATTTGCGCACCTATTTCTGCAACGGTTTGGGAGCATAGTTTCTAGTTGCGAGCTGCCCTTGTGGATACAGCCACTGACAATATGATACTATGAGAGTGACAATTCCATATTTTAATTGGCAACTATGTTGAATTGTTGATTAATTGTCTAAAATAGCAATAGCTGATCAAGTATGGAACTTTGGCCCGTTTTGAGATCCATCTATCTGGTTAAGAACCCTAGGAGTTAGTAAGGCAAGAGTTAAGCATGTTGGTGAGTTCATAAAAGATAACGGAGATAAAGGAATAATCATGCACTTTATATCACCAAAATGGAATTGTTGGTGTGTTCAAAGCATCACAAGGCCTAAGCTTGTAATGTAATGCATGTTCATTAAAACAGCACCCTTTGGGTCCATGCCTGAGTGGAGCTAAATCAAGATAACAGTTGTATAGAAATCAATTATTGCATCTTTTGACTTCAGTTTTACGTCCAAAGATAACCTTTTGAACAAATGGGAATATTTTAGAAAATCATGTAAGTAGGTTTAGTTGTTTCCAGTTACCGGTTTAATTAGGCAGTTCCACCTCTACTACACACCATCTACTATGTAATACAGATTTCCTGCAGAATATCATGTAAATTTGTTACAGTTTGTGCATGGCCACATGGGCATCCTTCCAAAAATATGAATTGGGAAAAATCATTGATGCAGAACACGTGCATGTGCCACATGTGGCATTGCCAAAATAATTTGCATAAACATGTCAATATGTACTCTATGGAAAAGACAAGTGCAGATTTATATTGCAAAAGTATGTTTGCAAGCTTATCTTGTGTTATGTAATGGGTAATGGACATATGTTTTTTTCTTTGCTTTTCTGCCCGTTTTATTTTCAATTTTTGCAAAAGTGCATTTGCTCTAACATGGCTTCGATAATGAACTTTGAGTACTTTTCCAAAGTTCACAACTCTGCATTTGGAGAAAATAGATGTGGTGGTAATATGTGTAGATCTGTTTTTTATTCTGTGGGTAATGCGCATTAATACCTAGATGATTGTTAATATACTTTTGCAAAGTGCAGATGCCTTAATTTAAAGTGCCACTCTGGAGTTTGTCCTATATACTATATGTCTAGAGGGGAATAAGTTGTTTTAACTTGTAATCATGCCATAGAGTATAATAGTTTTAGAAATCCAAATATTAGGTTCAGATAAATAAAATGCCTTATATCCTGATTTTGCAAAAAAAAAAAAAAAAAAAAAGTTTGACACTGTGGTGAGGTTTTTGAGTTGATTTACTTTGGCTTTCTTGCTAGGTGTATTAAATTTATTTAGGTCCCAGGTGGTGAGATTTAAGGGTGCACTGTAATTAAACATGATTCTGGTGTTACGTTGGTGCATCACCTTGCCAAATATACTGTTTGTGTACTCCCATATTTCTTTGCAAGCAACAAATGAAATCCATGCATGTTAACGGTCCTAATCGTGGAAGGCGTGTTACAAGAACTCATGCCTAGTAATCATGTACATATAATTAGTTGGTCACTTAATTGCTGCTAACAGATGATCCTTCTTGGGAACAATGAACTGTTTATGTTAAATATGTTTCATTAAGATCCACAAGAGCTGTTCTTCAATCTGATTTATAACTTTGGAGTTGTCGAACCTGCTAAACCAAAATTGTCAAAAATCTCAAATCCTGAACCAGATTGGAGCACTTACGACATTGCAAATTGCAGAATCGTTGTAATGTCTAATATATGAAATAGTTTGGTGGCCAGGGGTTCCAGCATTCCCATTAGCAAAAACACAATAATCCAAAATGTTGCAGTGCTTCAAACAATTTCCATGAAAAATCATGTATATATGGTACATAAAGCTAAGTAATCTGACAAAATTTTGACTTCACTCATCTTTGATATTATGATTGGAAAAACACAAATGGTCCTTTTAGAACATCATGAAAAATACCAGATTGAAAGCTTGTCAGTTTTGTTTCTTAACATCTAGGACGGATTTTTCATTTTTTATTAATGCAACATCATGGAAAGGAGGTGTGCTGGCATGTATATTTCTCTTATCCTAATAATGCAATGATACATAGTTCTCCCACTTGTCCGAGAAAAAAAATATGTCGGTATTTATGCAGGTTTACTGAACTTTGTATGTACAACATACATGATTTTGTTTTGACAAACTTTGTACAAGCGGTAGAGTCTTATCGCCTGTGACCGGAAGGTCCCGGGTTCGAGTCGCGGTCTCCTCGCATTGCACAGGCGAGGGTAAGGCTTGCCACTGACACCCTTCCCCAGACCCCGCACAGAGCGGGAGCTCTCTGCACTAGGTACGCCCAAACTTTGTATGTACAACATAAATCGGTATTAATGCAATGATACTCAGCATTTTGAAATGTTCCATCACAATATGAGGTACTGATGGCCAAAGATTAGACACTTTGATTGGACACAGCAAATTGCCACTTATTTGTGATTCGGGAGTATCATCTATTTCATCAATAATGTATTTATTTAAAAAATGCTTCTTCAACTTATGCTATGAACCTTAGTTCATATCGGGGATAGAGAGGATAACCATTGCCAAGAGGAAGGCCGGGCAAAGTCGGCGTGGAGGGAGACTAGAATATTTGGGGGTAACTGGATTGTTTGTTGTTCATTGCTTGCCTCATCATAAACTGGTTACAGGGTATAAATAGAGGTGCCCAGCCCCTAGGCACCTTGCCTCTAGCTCCTCGTTTCTGTCCCCATCAATGACTCTAATATCTCATTAACTCTAATCTCTTCCCCAGACTCTAATTGCCATTGATTACAGCCAGCACCCCCTGGGATACCGTCTTGGCTGCATGCAGCTAGTCCCCGGCTGCCCCACATGACAACTTATGTTTTTTTCCAAAATTATATTTTAAAGTAAACATCATAGGATGGAACATGAACAAATGAAGAGTTAAGTATCACATTAGTTTGACATATGCAAGTTACTTTTCACAAAAAATCACCAGTCTGTTAGAATTGGATAGCATCATATGAAAATTTTGTTCCTGCTCCTAACCAAATATTTAGATTCTACCAAACTGAGACCCTTCCTTCGAGTCAGATCGGTGCAATCAATCTTAGGCTTTAAAGTCATAAAATCATATGACAGAATTTGTGCTTGACAACTCGATTCTTGTTGTAGAATAACTGATTACTGATGAAGTACTTCCATTTGTTCGCAAAATTATGATATGCAAAATTTAACCTTGAGAAACCCTGCAATTGGAGAAGCAGTCCTTTATCTGCCTTTTGGTCCACGTTTATTTCTCGAGGGCATGGTTTTGCTAAGCTTCATGCCTAAATATCCAGTTCTTTTCCTCATAGAAAATTTACGTGCCACCTGCAGATTATATTATCTCAGGAGAAAAATATTCAACAGCTTAACCAGCTTATCGAGAGCCTTCAGCGCCAGCTACTGCACTGCCGTGGTAGCAATAACACTGTTCATGCTGCTGCTGCTGCTGCTGCCGCCACAGAAGTAAGTGAAGTCGAGGGACATGAGATCATTGAAGATGAGAATAGACGATGATCCTTGGCATACATGGTTCTACGATGCTAGTACAGCTGCCAAAGAGCAAAACAGTCCTCTGAATACTTGAATTCACTGTATTGTATATTTGATACTCGCCGACTAGTGGATAACCCCTGGTAAGCCTGTAGAGAATTGTGATTTGTAATGTGCTTTTAGGTCGCGGGCCGGCCACTAATTCACCTGGAAAGTTACCTTACCATTCTTTCTTCCCTCAATGGCTAAATTATATGCAGTCTCTGATTTTTGTATTTGACCTGTGAATGCATTCATCAGATTAAAAGTTGGCTGATGAACTGTTCAGTTCAGGCATGTCGCCTCATTGTGCTCCTTCTCAGCTTGTGTCCCCGAGAATATTTATAGTTAAATGTATTATATAGTAGTAAGTATGGACCTTCAGAAGACAGTCTGTGACCATACATGACCACAGTGACAAGATAGAAAAACAAATTAAGATACAAGGAACGGAGGGAGTACGTAGCATATGTTATTGCTTCACATAACTCACACAGATTGGGAAGAGGTAGATATATATTTTCCGAATAAAAGATGGATCTCATGGAGCTTTCGGTGGACTGGCCTGCAATAACATAACGGGCTTGAGAATTTTGTTCTGCCTGACGCTGACGGCCTTTCTTCCTTGCTACTAGTATCATTTAGCTAGGGAGCTTTGATGGATGGGGATATGGGCGGGCCCGCAGCCCATTGGACATCATCCCTCGGTTGATCTACCTCCAGAAAGTTCCCATGGAATTGATCGATATGGGCCAGTAACTAGTTGGACATCTTGGGCTGACCTACTTCAAGGAAGTTCCTCCAAAATACTCCTGCAAAGGTTGCCGCAGTAAGAATTTGTTGGCAGAGCTCCATCGGCTCCAGATCCTTTCAGATCGATCTGATTCACCCAGATTCACCGTGGATTTTGGATTTATCAAAATGTTTGGTACGACTCCAGCGTTTCTCCCTGCCTCATTGAAATCCGGGACCACATGCTAGAGGAGAAAAAAAGGCACGACTTCTTCCTCAAGTTCGCACGGAGGGGTCGGCCAGGGGCGGGCGTGTGGTCGGCCACCGGCGAGGCGGCGCTTGGCCGGCCAGGGGTGGTGGGCGGGGGCACGACATGGAGCGATGGGGAAGAAGACAAGAAAGAAAAGAACGAGCCATTTTTTCTGTGTAATGAGTGACATGGTGGGTAATTTTCTCCAACTTCACCAACTTTGATTTGGTGAGCACCCCACCCCTTGAGTTGCTCCACTAATTTGGTGGATCTAGAGCCAGATCCATGGGTTTAGTGGAGCAAATCCATGTGAGGCTGCTGGATCAAAAAACGTTTGACTAAAAAAAGTGAATCTAAATCTGTTTTTGTTCGATCTGAAGCCGGTGGAGCTCTACCAAATAAACCCATAACAGTTGCCTGCATGTTGTACTGTCTGTTTGATGGTTTTGCCTGCTATTCGTAAAATATCAACCGATCGAGAGATGTTTTTGGATCCATGCAGTGGTGCTAGAGGGCTCAAAGTAATTTCCAATGCAAGTACTAATAAGCAATAAAGGATTGAACTTGTGCTGCTAATCTCAAGTTCCTGATTATTACTGCCGCTATAACAACAATGAATTGCTTATTTTCTTTTTTTCTTGCGAAGGGTTCAGTTTTGTTTGCATGTCTGTCAATATTTAGAGCTTGTTCGGGTAGAAAAGACTCCATTAGTTACACATGTACACAAGACTCCATACAGAGTAAAAGTCATGTAACTAGAAAAATTAAAACGTTCTCTTAAAAAAACTAAAAAAATTAAAACGACTTATAATTTAGAATAGAGCGAGGATTATCCACCAGAACGAGAGGAACCAGGACATTGAAAGCTTTATCTGAACACGTTTGGATCTCTTTCCTCTTCTATCGTAAACACATGTACGTCAACAAACCTCTCCATACAGTGAGCGAACTACGAATACAGTGAGCGAACTACGAATAGGGTTTAAAAAGTATATGGAGTAGTCAATGGTAACTAATTTTTATTACAACCAAACAAAAAATAAATATCTACACGTACCATGTCAAAATATAAACAATTAAGAGAGAGAGAGAGAGAGAGAGATTAACAATTTGGATTAGCTATTGGCCCTAACCCGTAAGTTTATCCATGAATTTATAACACTTACTTCCATTAAAATTACTAAACCATGCTCCATGAATGAACATGAGTTGATAGACTAGCGCAACAAAATAAGTTTTGTAGGCATTTCCAAGAGTCTTTCTTAAACTTCTTACTCTCTAAATCATTGTTTGCAGAGTTATTTGAATAAAAGTCGCTTTCTATACCTGTCCACCCTCCAACAGATTTTGTATATACTCTAGAGAGTCAACTCCACTCTCCAGCTTTGGCTAGCGAAAAATCCAGAATAAATGCTGTCAATATTTGAATATCTAATTAAATAACTATTGGAGTATATTCTTTTCACTAAAATTTGTATTTGTATCGATGAAGAAGGATATATATAGAGAGTCTTGGAGTTGCCCTAAAGATAAATTAGAGGAGTATATTTCACCTTTTTTTTTGTGTGTGTGTTGTCTTTATTGCGCTTCCAAAGAGGCGGTCATTATTACCATCCTAGCAAGAATGTGCAAGTGGGTTGTGTCTCGTGTTTTACCAACCATTTTTTTTAGGACGAGATGAATGAACACAAATTTAAAGGTTGAGACAAGCAAACCTCTAATTGCTGATGGCCGGATTCTATTGGCCAAACTAGAGATAATTTTCTTCTTCAAATCCTCACTCGGATTGGCCAATCGAAAGGGCTAGCTGACAAAGCACCCTCCTCTCATCTCAAGCATAAAGCGCGTCATCATGTGCCCCGTTGTTTTCTCGGACGAGCGTGTCGTGTCGCGTGCCTTCCTTCTTTCTCCCTACCTGCCTCCTGCGAAAGTGGCTCGTGTCGCCTTAGATTCTTTTATTCGTAGTTTCTCTCTTTTTTTTATTATTCTTCGTACTCTGATTCTGAAAAAAGTCCCGTTCGCTTCGCTGAAAAAACAAGCTAAAACATTATTCCGATTAATTTGTTGTGCGAGAAAAATAATGTTTCAACTAAAAGAACAAGCTGGAAAATACGGATGATAAGAAAAACAAACAGGGCCCGAGTGTTTTGCGATTCCTGTCCCCGTTTGCAAGTAAATAGAGCTTACGTGACACGAACAACGGGGCCTTGCGCGCAAGAAAAGAACTTTCAGCCGGTCATGGACTCCCGGCTCGCCGGCGCGGCGCCGCCGACGCGCACTGCGACGACTCTGGCTCTGCCATTTCCAGTGCAAGATCAATGTGCCTCCGTTCTCGAATTCTACGTGCAAGAACAAACATAAAAAGAAGACGAAGAAATAAACAATAGGTTTATAGAAATTTCATAGAAGAAAAACTGGGCGAAAACAAATCAGATTCCACGTAAGTTGCAACACACACACACACACAATCGAGAGAAATCCTGATTAACTCAGCAATCAGAACAAATCTAATCCCATCATCGCCACCACCATACCAAACACACAACGCACACGAACGCGACAATAATGCAAGGTTGTTAACGTGCCACCAGCAGCTATGTGCCTGTACGTGCTAGCACTAGCAGTTCTTCTCCGGCTTGGTGAGCTTGCACTTGACCTTCTGGAACACGACGGCCGTCGTCCCCGGCGGCGCGAGCTGCAGCTTGAGCGGGCACGACGCCTCGACCTTGCACTTGGTGTAGCGCGCCGTGTACCGGACCTCCCCGACGACGGCCACCTCCACCTCGAACACCCCCGTGGCGTTCTCCTTCCGGAACTCGGCCTCGCCGGCGTTCCCGAGCATGACGGCCCTCGTGGTGCCGGCCGGGGACAGGTGGTACACGCGGGTCTTCCCGCGGGGGTGCTTGGCGCCCTTGTCGGCGAGCTGGAACCGGTCGAACGCCTGGTCGTCGAACTTGTACTGCGCCTCCAGCGGCTTGGTGTTCTTGAGGCCCATCGCCCAGTTCGGGTTGCGGATCACCAGGGTGAGGGACAGGTTGTACGACAGCGACGTCAGCGCCGGCGGGGTCGTCGCCAGCTCGAACCGCGTCAGCGAGGCGTCGTCGACGGAGACGTCGAGGTGGCGGACGAAGCCGAACGCGGCGAGGAGCACGGCGAAGAGGATGACGGCGGCCACGATGCCGACGCAGAGCAGGCAGTACTTCCACTCGTCCCACTTGTAGCAGCAGTCGTCCCAGCACTCGCCGAGCTTCCCCATGTTTCGCCGGCGTCGGGTTTGGGTGCTGAATTGCTGATGAGTGGCGAGCGAGGGAGACGGGCAGGGGCGCAGGGTAGCTCACGGGTTGCTATCCTCCCTATTGTTGAGAAAGGTTGACTTGACCAAGGAGAAGAAGCCGTCAATGCTGGGCTGGGCAGGCGATGGACGGAGCATTACACGTGCTCGCTCTATTCAAAAAAAAAATATATTGTTACTGCTTATCTGCCCGGCTTATCAGTCATATTACAATATTTTTCTTTCATAATAAAATAGACGTAGCCGACTTTATCACCAAGAAAAAAATCATCAAATTTAACAAATTGTGTGTCCAACTTTCTTAAATTTAACTAAAATATTAATAATAATTGTATCTTTAAATAAGTTTATTATGAAAATATAATAAATAATTAATCTAATAATGCTCATTATGTTCTATAAATAGTAATAATTATTTATATATATTTAGTTAAAGTTGAAAGTATTTAGTCTCTTGAAAAATGAGAATGATATTCTTTGTGGATGGAGAGAGTCCTGAATACCGAATGCCAATGCTATTTTTAACAAAAACACCACCGTGTCTCAGGGTACCAAACCAGCCATGTTTTCTAACATTGTCTTTTATCGACCCAGTATGACAGTTCTACGAAAAATGGAATAGGTACTATGAAGAAATGCTACAGATGCAACACCCTCGATGGCTGGGTTTAGTCCATGATGGTATACGAAATTCAAAGGCGTGTGATCGAA